AAAGTTTTTTAAAAATCTAAATCACAGAATTAAAAACTGATTTCTAATACAATGAAATTTCATATGTATTTTCATAGAATCATGTGGTGGATACTTATAGACTAGGTTTCGAATTGGTACTTCGTACGTAACGAAACGGACGAAGCATACCAAAAAGCTAGTACACTACACTATCACTTTATATGCTCCGCTCAGTTCTATATACATATATGCATTTTGTATTAAAATGATGTTATACGAGATTTCGAAAAAAACAAACCGTATTGTTTTCGCCAATGCTCGAAATAGGYAAAGAGAGAAGAAGAATAGTCATGTGAAATGATGTAATCGCCGGAATATTGTTTAGCCTCTGACTGAATCCTTTGCATCTCCGACACATTGCCGTTAAATAACGACGGTGGAGGACCTTTCACGCCTTGATTCTTTAGACTTCTCCGCATCCTCCATTGTGCCGCCACCGCTACACCGTAAACTTGATATCCTACGGCGACGATTCCGACAACGATTATCCACCAAATTGTATTCACTGCCTCAAAACCCAAATTTTCCATTTGATATGTTTTCTTATCTATGCAAGATTTTTGTTTTGTTTTTCCTACTCTTTCTCTCTTTTAGCCATATATAGTCAACAAGATTCCCTTTAATCAAATAAGTCCAAAATAGTTATTTTATTTAATTAATTATTTCTGGATTTCATACCAATTAAAACAGTAAATTTTCAAATAATTTAAATTCATTATTTAGGAAAAAAATGAGGTGTAGTGCATGCAGTAGACTGACAATTAGCTAATTAGTCCGGCACGCTCCGGTCCATATAACTCGTACCGGCCATACATTTCTGTGTACGGTCCGGTCTGATTTTGGTTGGGCTTATATTTTAAAGTCCAACATGATCCGAACATCGCTATTTGGCATACATGGCTACTACTATATAACCTAGTTCTTTTGTATATATAAACATACGTCAATCAAATATAAAATGAAAGGAAAGCTGATGAATATTGGGTAAACCTACAAGTTACTCACTATTTTATTTTTGATAGATATCGGTAAATTATTATTTACAAAAAAGCTACAAACATATAAAAACACACTATTACAGTATTACTAGTATTATAATAAGATATTTTTTTGTTTTTGCTAAACAATTATTATAATAAGATATTACAAAGGAGTAAAAACTAAACCTTGACACTATAAGTGTTACCATATATTATAAGTTCTAGACATCGTATATTATAAGATCTTAGTGTCGAATAACCCTAATGACAACACCATGTTGAGGCTCTACAAGCATTCTAAACACCGGAGAGTGTTGATACGTGGGAGACAAAGTAAAACTAAACCTTGACACTATAAGTGACACAAGAACCTTGAGCTCCATCATACCAAAGTTTTTTCCTAGACACAATCTTGTCCCTAACCCAAATGGGACGAAGGACTGAGGGTGTTTGCAGGCTTTAGAGACTCCTTCGCTGAACCTCTCTGGTTTGAATTCATTCGCATCCGGTCCCCATATCTCGGGATCTCTGTGCAATGTAGGGATCAATGTCCAAATGCACACTCCTTTTGGTACTATGAGGCTTCCAAGTTTTGTGTCCGCAAGGGCTTCTCTTGACACGAATGCCGCTGGTGGATATAGTCTCAACGTTTCTTGGATAACCATTGTCACCTATATTTAAATGCAAGGGTTGTTAGGTTCTGAAATTGGTCATAGAAACGTTGGACGATTCTACATATATACATGCATGCATGTATTATTAAACTTAAGTATTACCGTTTTGAGGTTGGAAATAGAGTTTGCGTCAGGAATACCGTTCTTGCAGAAACGAAAGACTTCATCACGAATCCGAGTTTGCCAGGAAGGGTTGAGAGCAAGGAGCATAAGACACCAAGATACAGCAACCGCAGTGGTCTCATGGCCGGCGAAATAGATGCTTTTACAATTGTCAACTACGAAACTTTTGTAAGATGATGACTTGTCCTCCAAGCTACCATCGGAACTACTCATAGCCCCTTCTAGTATCAATTGCATTAGATCCTTCTTGTGATCTTCCACGGATTCCTTTTCTCTCTCCTTAACCGTTTCCCATATCAAAGACTCAACATGCTTCTCTAGCTCATCAATCTTCCCGTTCCCAAGCTTCTTAGTCCCGAACACAATATCACTTGCAACAAAAGATACACACATTATATTCAACAACATTATACATTCACTTATTACAAATATATAGAGTTTTGAATCCACTTACGAGAAGCCATTGCGGCTGAAAAGGATGTTGTGGTGAGTGATTGCCTTTTGAAGACATCTAAGCTTAGAGAAGATCTCTTTGCCTTTGGAGAAAGAGCTCCCAAAGCAAGCTCTAGAGATGACATCAGCAGAGACAGCTCTTAGGTCTTCGTCAACTCTTATGTCACACACCATCTCTTCCCATTTGGTAAGCATTGGCAACGCAGATTCAACCACTAAACCGACCATTCCCTTGACTTTGTCGAGGAAGAACTCGGGAGCGATGATACGGCGTTGATGGGCCCAATGAGGCCCATTAGAGGTGATAACGCCACGGCCAAGAATGGACTTAAGACGTTTTGTGACGTAAGAGACTTTACCAAGTGTAAGAGTGTTGGCTTGGTTAAGCTCTTTCACCATTTCAGGGTGGTTCATGTACAAGTGTTGCTTCATCCCCGTTGAGTACGTGTACACCCTCCCTTC